CTCTCTTGCATCACATCAGGAGGCAGTATCTGGTTGTCTCCCTTTTAGTGATGTTAAGATTGGTCAGTGACTGCAGGCATTGTCAGCCTGGTCCATCGATTTTAAAGTTATCAGTGGTTTTTCTCCTAATGGTTTTATCAACCCATTTGTAATCATCATCCATTATTTTAATGGGGGTTGCAAATACAGTGTTCTATCATTTTTTTCCTTCTTTTGTTAGCTAGAATTCTTCTTTAGAAGCCCTGCATTCACTATTAGGTTGTCGTCAAGTATATTTTATATAGGAAAGCTAGGACTACAACTTGAATATTTTATCAGCTTTTAGAATAATGAATTGGTTCTCTAATATGAACATTTAATAAATATATAACTATATAATAAATATATAACTATATAATCCATAAATTCATGGATTTAACATGTTTGATGTCTTTCAATTATTGCAGTTTTCTTTTTTTTGAGACAGAATCTCACTCTGTCGCCCAAGCTGGAGTGCAGTGGTATGATCTTGGCTCACTGCAACCTCCACGTAGTGGGTTCAAGCAATTCTCCTGCCTCAGCCTCCCAAGTAGCTGGGATTACAGGTGTACACCACCATACCTGGCTAATTTTTGTATTTTTGGTAGAGATGAGGTTTCTTTATGTTGGCCAGGCTAGTCTTGAACTTTTAGCCTGAAGTGATCCACCCACCTTGGCCTCCCAAAGTGCTGGGACTACAGGTGTGAGCCACTGGGCCTGGCCTACGGTTTTTTAAATATTAAAATTGTCTCATCGTTTGCTACAAAGGCCTACTTCAAGTTGGATCTGGATTCATTTTGTTAGAACTAGGCTGCAGCAGTCTTTGATAGCATTATTATTTTTTGGTGCAACACTATGTACCAGGCTCATTCTGTATGTTTTATACTCCAGATCTGAAATCAACCATTCATTTCTCCATTAAACCTTGGTTCCTTGTAATGGGAAATGATGTTTAAAGACCAAAGTCTAGATGATATAGGTGTCTGTTGAAATTGGGTTGGTCATTTTTAATTCTTTTCAAGTGGATGGATTTAAGAAATACATTTAAAAAGAATGAGAAAGTATGCCATGGTTCATATTGATGTTTCTAATTCAAATCTACAATAATATAATTGCTAATAACTTCTTATATTTTTATCTTTCCTTTTATACACTTTTATTTGTGTGTGTGTGTGTGTGTGTGTGTGTGTGTGTGTGTGTGTGTGTATGTGACGAGGTTTTGTCCTGGCTGGAGCACAGTGATGGCCTCCTGGGATGAAGTGACTCTCTCACCTCACCTTCCTGAGTAGCTGGGACTACAAGTGTGTGCCACCATGCCCAGCTAATTTTTTTTAATACTTTGTATAGATGAGGTCTCAGTATGTTGCCCAGGCTGGTCTTGAACTTCTGGAGTCAAGTGATCCTCCTGCCTTGGATTCCCAAAGTGTTGGGATTATAGACGTGAGCCACCACACTGGGCCTACACTTTTTAATGCATATAGATGAAATTGTATGATTAGAATTTACATGAAAATAATTCAGTATGTGTGGGTGGGAGAGGAGAGGATGTGGATGGGGAAGTGAATAGTAGATGAAACAAGATTGGTCATGAATTGATAATTGTTAATTCTGGGTGACTAGTAGATACATGAAGCTTCATTATATTATTTTGTTTCCTTTTGGGTATGTTTCATATCTTCGATTTAGAAACTCATTTGCATTTTTATTGAGATGTTATAAATTTATAGAGAAATCAACTTCTTTTATTCATTCCACATTACTATATATATTCTTCTTCCTTTTTAAGACAAACTATGGTGGCTTGTGACATATTTTATTATAAATTTTTTTATTTTCGGTTTGAGGATATATGTGAAGGTTTGTTATCTAGATAAACATGCGTCATGGCGTTTTTTTGTACATAATACTATGTCACCCAGGTATTAAGCTCAGTACCCAATAGTTATCTTTTCTATTCTCCCTCCTTCCACCCTCCCCCTCCAGTAGACACCAGTGTTTGATGTTTCTTCTTTGTGTTCCTAAGTTCTTGATTCTTCATTTTTTGATTGACAGTAGAATGACTGTACCATTCTTTATGTAACTATTCATTTATTGATGTTCTTATAATAGTACCCCCCTTATCTGAGGAAATACTTTTTAAGGCTCCAAGTGGATGCCTAAAACCACAGATCATACTGAACCCTGGACATCTGGTAACTGATTGGGCCACTAAGTGATTAATGGGCAGGTAACAACATGTAGATATGCTGGACTAAAGGGATGATTCGTGTCCTGGGCCTGATGGAGCAGGATGGTGTGAGATTTGATCACACTACTCAGAATGGCTTGTAATGTAAAACTTATTAACTGTTTATTTCTGGCATTTTCCATTTAATATTTTCAGACCATGGTTGACTGTGGGCAACTGGAACCAGTAAAGTAAAACCATGGATAAAGTAAACCATGTATAACCATAGATTGTTTACAATTTTTCTGTGTAACAAATAATAATTCATTGGTAGTATTTACTTTAAAGTATAATTTAGTGGGTACTTGCATGTTTTTACCATGTTAATAACACTTTACCCCATACTCTTATCAGTCTCGTATTTACCTTCTCTGATTTTGTGAGTTGATATGTTAGGCTTATATTTTAAAATATTTAAATCTTTTAAAGTATTACTAATGTCATAAATCAAATTTAATTGATTTCCTTTTGAAAGTATTTGTGGTGAAAGCTGTTTACAAATAAAGTTTCAATATTATCTTAGGTATGTTTTCAGCAATCAAAATTTGGATTTTTGAAGAAAAAAACTATTGGAATACTAATAAAAGTTATTAGGTACTCTCACATGGTTATACAATTCACTGTTGTAGATGGCCACTTATTTTACATTTGCTAGCAGTGCAGGGAACAACAAATTTCCTCACGATTAAAAATAGTAACTAAGATAAATCCCAACTAATTTATATTATGAGAAAGCTGCATTTAAAAAAGAAGATATGAAGTATGAAAGAATCCTGACTTTACTGCAATTTTTAAACTGTTAGGTTACTTGAGGAGTACTTTGTATTTTATTTTGAATGATATTAATCTAAAAATTTATTACTTTTCAAAAGTGAATCAGTTATATTTAGATGGTATTAGTGGCATGGTACCCCTAAACATATATTATAAAATTTGGGGAATAGAGAGATTGGGATATTTAAATCCCCTTGTGATCAGAGAGCCAGTCTTTTCTTTGGGAGGTAGTACTACAAGGCCATGGTCCTGCTCTTTTCTGCTCTCCTTTTCAGGCTACTGGTTTGTTGCCTAAGCAACAAGGAACTTTGGTGGAGCAGCATCACGAAAAAGCCTGTAGAAAAGCTCTGTGAAAGAGGACTGTAAAAGAACACTTTAAAGTCAGACAGAGTTAGATTTGAAAAACAGCTTTACATTAACAGGTTAACATTATTTAACCTCTTTGAGTCTCAGTTTTCTTATCTGTAAAACAGGCAAAGGAACAACTTCTATTTAGGGTACTATGAGGCATCAATGCAATCATGAATGGCAGAGGCTGGATGTATTCATTGCTTTTTTATACTTCTACAAGTAAATTAAATTTTTGTCACATAATGTTTGGCCGTAATAACAACAGTTAGCATTTGATGGGTACCTATTATGTACCAGAGTATTCTAAAAACTTTATATGGGCCCAGGAACTGTGGCTAACACCTGCAATTTCAGCATGTCAGGAGGCCAAGATGGGAGAATCACTTGAGTCAAGGAGTTTGAGACCAGCCTGGTCAACATAGTGAGACTCCATCTTTATTTAAAAAAATTAAAAACACACAAAAAAAACTTTACATAGATCTTGTTTAATCCTCACAGAACTCTGTGAGGTAGATTTTATTAGCTTGTTTTTATTAGGAAACTGATTCAAGAAAGTTAAGTAGCTTGTATGAGAATATATATTAGGCAGTAATGAGGAATTACTGCCGTATGTGTGTGTGTGTGTGTGTGTGTGTGTGTGTGTGTGTGCATTATATATATATTTGATCACATATTTTAAATAAATAAATACAAATTTAGTGTATATTAATTACATATTTGATTACTTACATTTTAAATAATCAAGACTTTTTTGTTATGACATCAGAGATAAAGGGAAACATGATGAATCAGAAACATGATACGCTAAAAAACTGGTTATTCTAAAACTTGTCTGAAACATTCATATGATTAAGACATCTGTTGAGTGAGAGGATCACAATTTGAGTAAAATTATTGCTGTTGGCTGGGCGTGGTAGTTCACACCTGTAATCCCACCCACTACTTTGGGAGGCAGAGGTGGGTGGATCACCTGAGGTCAGGAGTTCCAGACCAGTCTGACCAACGTGGTGAAACCCCGTCTCTATTAAAAATACAAAAAGTAGCCGGGCATGGTGGCTCAAGCCTGTAATCCCAGCACTTTGGGAGGCCGAGGCGGGTGGATCACGAGGTCGAGAGATCGAGACCATCCTGGTCAACATGGTGAAACCCCGTCTCTACTAAAAGTGCAAAAAATTAGCTGGGCATGGTGGCACGTGCCTGTAATCCCAGCTACTCAGGAGGCTGAGGCAGGAGAATTGCCTGAGCCCAGGAGGCGGAGGTTGCGGTGAGCCGAGATCGCGCCATTGCACTCCAGCCTGGGTAACAAGGGCGAAACTCCGTCTCAAAAAAAAAAAAAAAAAAAAATACAAAAAGTTGCTGGGCATGGTGGCACACACCTGTAATCCCAGGTACTCAGGAGGCTGAGGCAGGAGTATCGCTTGAACCTAGGAGGCAGAGGTTACAGTGAGCTGAGATTGCGCCACTGCATTTCAGCCTAGGCAACAGGAGCAAAACTCCATCTCAAAAAAAGAAAAAAAATTATTGCTCTTTTACTGAAAACCTTTTTCAATGGCAAGTGAGTGATTTCCCAGTCTTCTCTTATAACATAGTTTTAGTACTGTATTTGAAAGTGTTTGTTTGATTTCCACAGGGTCGTAATCTGGCAGATCTTCGCCGTAGCCAGTCCCGAGGCACATTCACCATCAGTACTACTCTCCGGCTGGGTAGACAGATTTTGGAGTCTATAGAAAGCATTCATTCTGTGGGATTCTTGCACCGAGACATCAAACCGGTAGGGGCCTTTTCTGTCCAGAGCACAGAATGAGTTTGATACTCTTAATGTTATGATGGGACACAGTAAATTACAAATGTAGCTTTGTGTATTTGCTGTGGTTAGATACAAGGTAATATTTTCATTTCTATAGTAAGACCTGGAAGCAAAAATACAACTTACCTCTTAATTTTTTAAGTGATAATTACAAACTACAACTTGTTTTCAGGAATTTTTCTCATACAATGAAAATAAAAAATGAGACTGGGGTGGTAACACATGCCCATAACCCCAGCTACTCAGGCGGCTGAAGCAGGATGATTTCTCGAGTGCAGAAGATGGAGGCCAGAGTGGGCTATGATCCTTCCTGTGTATAGCCACTACATTCCAGCCTGGGCAGCATAGTGAGACCCTGTCTCTTAAAAAAGCTTTATGTTTGACTATTATTATGTGTGCTAACATTGCCAGTTACTTAGCCTTATGCCTAAATTGGCATTATTCCTTGGTTTCTTTTATATATATATTAGTTAAAAAATTATATATGTTGCTTTCAGTTGTTGATACTGTGTTCTTGCAGTATTTGTTACGTCAAAAGTTCTATTTATAAGAAATCATCAGCTGTGAAAGACCTTATTTTTCTCCCGAGTGCTACTATGGAAATATAGTTGGGTTTTTATTTGCTAATCTGTTTTTCTTAGAAATAGTCACTTCCATAACTGTGAAATAGGCTTTTCTGTCCTTTTCAGTGTTTAATCAAACACCGAAACATTCATTAAGTGAAATGACCCATTTCTGATATACTGTATTTACTATACATTTATCATATGTTGGTACAGATGAAAAGTACAACCATCTGTTGTTACATGACTTCTAAAATTAGTTTACATGAAAATGCTAACTAAATTTGTTATTGTAGAGTCTCTCTTTCTAGGCATCATTATTTGAGAACCATGGTGACTGGAAGAGTTTCTGTTTTTTATCAGAAAGCTCTCTAAGTAGAATAACATTTTTTTAAAAAATGACAATTTTGGTAACAATTTTGCTTTTACCTCGACAAGTCCTCTTACATACTCATGTTTGCATTTCTGGTCATTTAATATTACACCAATTTTCATTAGGGAAAGAATACTAAGTATATTTTTCTTAAGTCTGTTTTGAAATGCTTCTATAAATTATATTTTAATTTTGGACTTAGTAAAATTCAGCTTTTTGACGCTTATAGGAAATTCTTTTAAATTTCTATTTTTTAAGTAGGCTTTGGGTTGTCATTTAGGCATCAACTTAGACTAGAATTTCAAGAACTTAGAATTCCAAGTCTAGTTAATGTTGTCGTGTGTGTATCCTTAGTCACTTACATTTTTTTTGCTCAAAGTTTACCTGATATTAGGCATTAATAGAACCCAAAATGAAATCATATTTTAATACCTACTAAATGTCATTGACTATAAGAGTATATTTGGAACATGTGTGTTATATAGAGCTTAACTAGAAGAAGACTTAAAATGTAGAAATAGTAAAATGTAAAGACTAAGTATTATAAGAATGTGTATATTTTCCTTCCTTATTTTTCTAGTCGAACTTCGCTATGGGTCGCTTTCCTAGTACATGTAGGAAATGTTACATGCTTGATTTTGGCTTGGCTCGGCAATTTACCAATTCCTGTGGTGACGTCAGACCAGTAAGATTTTTCGTATTATTATCAAATATTTGATAATTACCCTGGTATTTATAGTATCACACTTTTAAAATAATGCTAATTATGTATCCTAATGGGTATTATCTAAGAAATGCCATATACATTTAATGATTAAATTATAGAATGACAATAAATTTTATTATTGAAATTTGTGGCTTTAAAAAATGTACATTAGAGGGAGATTTAGAGTGGTCTTATAGTAAGAACACATGCTGACCCTTTGAGATTAGGGGTCGTTTTTGCAGTATGAGACCCTTTCTACGTACTGTAATTGTATTTCAGTTATTGTACTTTTCAACTCCTAATTTTCCACTTAGTTCTCTTCATTGATATTCTCTATTTGATGCGACACTGTCATCACATTTTCTTTTACTTGTTTAATCAAGCTGTCCTTTAGTTCTGAAAAACATATCTATAATGGCTACTTTGAAATCTTTTTCTGTTAGATCCAATATCTGGTCACTCTCACAGGCAGTTTCTGTTGCCTGTGTTTTACCCTCATGTATGGGTCATACTTTCCTATTTCTTTGCATGCCTCATGATTTTTTGTTGGAAACTGGGCATTTTAGGTAATATATTACAGCAACTCTGGGTATTGGTCTCTCCCTGCAAGTGCTTGTTATTTTTTGTTTAGTGGCTGACAGGATCATTGTAGTGAAATCTGTTCTATTCTCCTCCCTCCCTGCCAACCATACACACGGTGTTAAGACTCTGTTGTTGCTCTTCAGGGAGGTGCATCTTTGGGTATGACCACAATTACACTGTGGTGATAGTGGTACCAGTAAGGCTCACTTCTGCCCTTTCCTTGGCCGTATCTAGCTGTTGAACTTCACTAATTGCAGGCCAGTTACTTTATTTTTATAACAATATCTTAGGGGCATAAATATCTGGACTAACAAATTTAATCAAATTGTGGCTTCTAAAACTGAATCATTTCTGAGGTTGGTGACTGATCATTGTTCTGATGTTGGGTCTTTGAGGTAGCTTTTCCCCCTAGTTCTCTCCTGCCCAGCTATTCTCTAGGCTATATCTTCAGTGAATTTCCTCCCAGTTCCCTTTACCATGACCTCTATTTATGATAGGGCTTTTAGGTTTGTTAAAAAGAAAACATTAGGCAAACAATTTAACAGAGATGAGTTGAGCAAAGAATAATTCATGAATCATGTGGCCCCCCCCAGAATGAGAATATGTCAGAGTGACTCTGGCGTTGCCACATGGTTGGATAACATGTATGAACATAAAAAGTAAAATGAGTACAGAAAATGTAAGTGAAGTACAGAAATAGCTGGCTTGGTCACAGCTGGGCATTTGCCTTATATGAATTTGTTTTGGACAATTGGTTGCCTGTGGTTGGTTGAGACTTGGCTATTTGTTACAAGAGTAGCTTACAGTCTACACATCAAGTTAGGTTACCATCATTATGTATGGAGAAACCTCTAGGCCATTTGTAAAACACGTACAGAGGTAGTTTTAGGCCAAACTTAATTTAACAGTAAAATAAGACACTGATGTCACTCTGTCAGTTTTGTAAATGGACTGATTTGGTCTGGGATTCACAAGTCTTATTTAGTCTCAGCTCCTGTCTGTTTTGAGGTCTGTCTGCTTCTTTAAAGTTTGGTTTGATGAAATTAATAATAAATAGAAAATGAAAAATAAATATAAATAAAAAATAAATGTAAAATAAGAGTATGAAATTAATTTCATACTTTTTTGGATTATTATTGAAATAATTTTCTCATATTGTTCTACTAATGTAAAATCAAAAGTTAACTTTGTAGATTTGTTTCATATGCACAATTTTTTATTTATTGCCAGGAAAGTGGAATTGGTTGTTTGGATTGTCTGGGTATACCATCATGTTATCTACAGAAATCTATATTTTGATTTTGTTTATTTTGTCTTGCTATATATATATTCCAGAAGACTATACAAACATATTAAGAAATCAAGGAAGGCCGGGCGCGGTGGCTCAAGCCTGTAATCCCAGCACTTTGGGAGGCCGAGGCGGGTGGATCACGAGGTCAAGAGATCGAGACCATCCTGGTCAACATGATGAAACCCCCGTCTCTACTAAAAATACAAAAAATTAGCTGGGCATGGTGGCACATGCCTGTAATCCCAGCTACTCAGGAGGCTGAGGCAGGAGAATTGCCTGAACCCAGGAGGCGGAGGTTGCGGTGAGCCGAGATTGCGCCATTGCACTCCAGCCTGGGTAACAGGAGCAAAACTCCGTCTCAAAAAAAAAAAAAAGGAAGAATAATCAAACATCACTGGCCTCCATCTAGGTTAAGAAATGGCATACTTGTACCTTAGAAACATGCTGTGCGTCCTTTCCTGATCATAGCCCTTTTTCTTCTTCAAGCAGCACTGACAAATGGAGCTTACTATAATGATAGCAATGTTTTGTATCTGTACTGTTTTAAATGTTAACCACTAGCTACATGTAGCTATAGAGCACTTGGATTGTTGCCATAGCAAATAAGGAACTGAATTTTATTTTATTTTTTTGAGATGGGAGTCTCACTCTGTTACCCAAGCTGGAGTACAGTAGCGCCATCTCGACTCACTGCAACCTTTGCCTCCCAGGTTCAAGCGATTCTCCTGCCTCAGCCTCCCAAGTAGCTGGGAATACAGGCGCCTGCCACCATACCTGGCTAATTTCTTTTTGTGTTTTTAGTAGAGACTGGGTTTCACCATGTTAGCCAGGCTGGTCTTGAACTCCTGACCTCAAGGGATCCACCCTCTTCAGCCTCCTGAAGTGCTGGGATTATAGACATAAGCCACTGCACCTGGCCCAGGAACTGAATTATAAATTTAATTTAATTTTAAGTGGCTATCACATTAGCCAGTGCAGTCCTTGATATAACCTTCATCCTATATTTTGCATTAACTGGTTTCTTTCTTTTCCTTCTTCTCTTTTCTGCAGATCTTGAGGGTACTTGTTTGGGAGTTAGGGAGCAGATGCAGATAGCTACCATGACAGGCCTTCATGTTTAGTTTATAAATGTAACCCAATCTACTTTTAATTTTTAACGAGTCCCTTTCTCCCTCTATTCCTCTCTTGTTTCCCTCTGCTTTTTAAATTTATTATGCTTATTATTTAAAGAGACAGGATCTTGCTCTGTTTTACAGGTGGGAGTGCAATGGTGCAATCAAAACTCATTGTAGCCCCAAACACCTAGGCTCAGGTGATCTTCCTGCCTTAGCTTCCCAGAGTTCTGGAATTATAGGTGTGAGCAGCCACACTTGGCCTTCTCTGTTTTTTAAATTGTTTTATTTTATTTTAATTTTTTTTGAGATGGAGTCTTACTCTGTCACCCAGGCTGGAGTGCAATGGTGCAATCTCGGTTCACTGCAACCTCTGCCCCCCAGGTTCAAGTGATTCTCCTGCCTCAGCCTCCTGAGTAGCCAGGATTACAGGCATGTGACACCATGCCTGGCTAATTTTTCTATTCTTAGTAATGGGGTTTCGCCATCTTGGCCAGGCTGGTCTGGAACTCCTGACTGCAGATGATCTGCCCTCCTCAGCCTTCCAGAGTGCTGAGATTACAGGTGTGAGCCACCGTGCCTGGCCTCCCTCTACTTTCTTTTAAAAAGACAATTTTATTTATGTGCACTATACCTTTAAAGCGTATCATTTTCCTTAAAATGTGTACGGATAACCAATACTGTTTTTTTTTTTGTTTGCTTGTTTTTTTGTTTTTCCCCCTGATTTGGTGTATATTGTCCTTTTATTATTTTTAACTTCTGTTTTGGGTTTGGGGGTACATGTGCAAGTTTGTTATATAGATAAACTTGTGACATGGGGGTTGGTTATATAGATTATTTTGTCACCCAGGTACTAAGCCTAGTACCCAATAGTTACCTTTTCTGCCCCTTTCCTTCCTCCCACCATCCACCCTCAAGTGGGCCCCAGTGTCTGTTGTTGCCTTTGTGTCTGTGAGTTCTCATCATAACAAATACTGTTTTATTATCACAGTAATTATCTGTTGGCTGATCAATATGTAATAGTAGTTGGTCTGTTAATTGAAAAGATTCCTTAAGGATGAGGAATCATGACATATTACTTTAAGCATTTTTTATATTTTTCTTTGTTTTGGAGGTCTTCTTGTTTTCAAATAGTTAAGACTCATAAGAAGTTACAAAAATGGTACAGTTACCATGTACCTTCATCCAGCTTCCCCCAGTGATAATACCTTACATAATCATAATACATTGTCAAAACTGGGAAATTGATGTTGGTATGATATTATTAACTCAAGTACAGAGTTTGATCTTACCAGGTTCAACCTGCATGTTTTGGTGGAGATGGAGTAGTATATGAAATTTTATTGCATGTATAGATTTATGTGATAAATTCATATAACTAACTTCTGTAGTTTGAATGTTTGTCCTATCCAAATCTCATGTTGAAATTTGATTCCTGGCTGGGTGCGGTGGCTCATGCCTGTAATGCCAGCACTTTGGGAGGCTGAGGCAGGCAGATCACAAGGTCAGGAGTTCAAGACCAGCCTGACCAACCTGGTGAAACCCTGTCTCTACTAAAAATACAAAAATTAGCCAGGCCTGGTAGCACGCACCTGTAATCCCAGCTACTCAGGAGGCTGAGACAGGAGAATTGCTTGATCCTGGGAAGTGGATCTTGCAGTGAGCTGAGATCATGCCACTGCACTCCAGCCTCAGCAGCAGAATGAGACTTTGTCTCAAAAAAAAAAGAAAGAAAAGAAAAAGAAATTTGATTCTCAATGCTGGAAGTGAGGCCTAATGGCCAGTGTTTGGGTCATGGTGTGGATCACTCGTGAATAAATCACTCCTCTCCCTTGGGAGTTGGAGGGTCGTGAGTTGTCGCTTTTTTCATTTTTATGAGAGCTGGTTGTTAAAAAGAGCCCAGCCCCTTCACTCACCTTCTTGCTTCCTTTCTTACCATGTGTCCTCTGCACATGCCTCCTCTGATTTGCCTTCCACCATGAGTGAAAGTAGCC